GTGTGCGTGCGTGTGTTGGGTGCTATCAGATATTTCATCTGGTCTGCATCTTTACAGGTAACTAAAAATGTTTATTCTGATTCCACATGAACCTTGTAACAATTTTAGCTCATCTTTGTCCAAAACCTACCTGAATTAACATAGAAATATTCCATTTTAAAATTTTCATTTAAACCTTGGAATTAATAGGAAGATAAAATGTTCTCAAATCATGTATCTTGGTCAGTATGCTCCCAGATGCTTTATAAATGACAACTTTGGCCTAGAAGAGCATACTTGCCTGTTCCTGGAAAAAAGCGTTTAAATGAGAGAGTGGTTTACTTTCACGTGGCAATTGATTTTCTGCACTTAACCTCCTATGCGTAAAATCTTACAAAGAGCTTTTATAATTTGTTGTACTAAATTGTATGAAGATTATGTACTAAATAAAGCTCTTTTAAGTTACACAAGATGAGTGCCTTTCATTTCTTTGAAGGTCAAAAACCGAGGAACTGGCTTATTGAAGTGTATTAAATATGTGCTGAGTAGAGTACAGTCACTAAAGATGGATGTGGTAGGATCTTAATTGTACTTGCTAATGTTGAAGGAATTTGGTGGTTTCCCCCCCTCACCAAGGTATTTGGTTTGATAGCTGCTTATTTGCTTCCCTTGCACCTCAAGGTTATAGTTAAGATTTCTAAAGAAACGGCTGCTCTTAGCAGAATTTACCCTCAAAGGGGTAAATACTGTGTTTTGACCTTTGGAATTGTTTCTACTTCTTGATAGTGTACAGATAGCAAATGTGCTTAATTGTTAGGTTGTTCAGAGCAGATATTGAAATTCCAAACAGAAATGGTCAGGGAGACAGATATACTTCCAAATAGAAGAAACTGGCAGTGGGGATCTCAAATATTCTGTACTGACTCTTTGTAAGTATATAATTAAGTGTATTTACATTTAAGCTATTAAGTGCACTCTGCTAGAATGGTCTCTAGTGAATGAAGAATCACAAACAATATAGATAAGCGAGAGACTGAGGATATGAATGAACTGAACGTGTTAATAGCTTGACATGACACCAGGCACATGGCAGATGAAATGCAGCTTCTCTGCCCCTTCTTTCAGAAGAGGTATCTGAAACTCATCTAAGATCATTTCAGTTAATTTTGTATTTAGAAGTTTTCTCTATAGATTGTTCTTCAGAGTGAAGATAACAGGACCATAGTGTGATGTGAAATCAGTTTAGTGTGTTGCAAACATTTAGAGAGGAAACAGGGGACAGGGAGAGAGAAGGGGAGGTAGGGAGTGGACAGCCAATATGGTAAGTATAAGTACTGTCTTGTGAAATATTTGTTTCATTTATACACGTAGATATTCGTGCTCTGGGGTGCACTATAAAGCGTATATCTTACTGTGAGTTTATAGTCAAGAGTTTGAAAGCCATGCCCGTACAGCACAGAGGATTCTGGGAGGATGGCAGCTTGAACTTGGCTCTGTCCTTGTCTCCCAACTCTACTGTATTAGAATCCTTTGAAAAATGATGATATTAAAGAATTATAAATTTTAGGTGTGATATGGACATTGTTACCTTTTTAGGTCCTTATCTTTTAGAATATGTACTAACATATTTCAGGTGGAATTGTATGTACAGGGTTTACATCAAAATAATTTGTAGGGCATATAGATGAAACAAGATTGGCCATGAGTTGATATAGTTTTAGCTAGTTTGGAATTTTTCTATAGAAAAAAAGTAAACCAACAAATTAAACCAGGAAACTTGAGAAGATTAAAATTTAAAAGATAAGAACTGAAATCAATTATCTAGGGAAATAATAAAAAGAATATATAAATCCCACCCCTGACAAAAACCTGGGTCTTTTAAAAAGACTAATGAAATAAACATCTGGTAAACCTGATTAAGGGGAAAAAAAACGAAGACATAATTGCAGAGTCAGAAATGGTAAATATATATATAAAATAATGTATACAATTTTGTGGCAAAAAATAAATCGAAACCCTACAGGAAACAGGTGATTTGCTGAAAAACAGAAGTTCAAAATGGCCCCCAAAAAGATGAAAACTTGAATAGACAAGAACCATAGACAATATGGAAAGATTCAAAGGTTGTAAAAGGACACTTGGGCAAGGAGGGCACACAGCCAAATTTCAACTTTCAAAGAAAGGATGACTCCAGATTTATTTTTTCTGGACCATAGAAAAATAAGGAAATCTCCCAGATGTGTTTTAGGAAACTTGTCCAATTTTAACATGCGAACTCAGTACAGATAATGTATTTGTTTTCTAATGCTACATAACAAATTACATAAATTTTGCATATTAAAATATCATCCATTTATCATCTCAAAGTTTCCATGGGGCAGGAGACTGAACACAGCTTAACTGTGTCTCACAGGACTTCAATCAAGGTGTCAGTCAGGCTGCTTGCTTATCTGGAATTTGGAGTCCTCACCATAAAGTTGGTGGAAGAATTCAGTTATTTGTGATTTTAGGACTGAGACCATTAGTTCCTAGAGGCCACTCCTCTCCATAGAAAGTTCACAACATGCCTTTTTGCTTCTTCAACACCAGGAGGGGGCCAAGATGGTGAAGAAGAAGGATACATAGCTCATCCTCTCCCATGAATACATTAAGAATTACAACTATGGACTGATCAGTTCATACAGAATATGCACTGAGCTTTGGCAGAGTATCTTGCTTCAGGAATGTAAGATTTCTCACAGAAATGGGTAGGAGGGGGAAAAAAAAGGACATTGGTGTGAGACTGTCTCCTCTGGGGAAAGAGTGCGAGAGGAGGAAAAGCGACCTCCAGCAGGGAGGTCAGTGGGAACAGAAAGGGAGCTTCCAAGGCTGGGAAGAGAAAGCAGCAGCCACTGGTAGAAAGAACTGAGAGAAACCAACACAGAAGGTCCCCGTGATCCCTAGCCAGAGATGTGAGCTGGCAGGTGTGGGACAGGACTGGCTGCTGGAGCTCTGTCTTTTGTGGACGAGCCCAGGGAGAAGACTGGGGCTGACAGAGGCAGCCTCAGGGGGTTGGAGTGTGGTGGGGGCTGTGGCTGGGAATGTGTACAGAACAGAATAGCCTAGGACCCCCATAAATAGGAGAGAGAAAGAATTTCTCAGACAAGCAAAAACTAAAAGAATTCAGCAATACTAAACCTATCCTAAAAGAAATATTGAAAGGTCTACTCTAAATAGAAAAGAAGCAGGAAGCTATAGAAAGAAAAAAAAACATAATTGGAAATATGATAACTACATTTCATGCAAATAGAAATTACAAGAAAGCAAGACTAGCAATACTCATATCAGACAAAATAGACTTTAAAACAAAGGCCATAAAGATAAAGAAGGACACTATACAATGATAAAAAAGAGCAATACAAGAATAGGATATTACACTCATTAA